TACATATGTATATACTCATGTGCATATGTAAGCAGCGTATAATTAAATTAACTTATCATTCGCAATTGATTTGGCTTAGTCGGATGCGAGCTGAGAGCTTCTGCTTCTGATTCAGCTGCTGAGACTAGAGTACAATGACAATCAAGCCAAAACAAATACGTATTTAACACAAATTACTCAACAATGTACATATTTATATATGTATGCATGTATATGCATAGAGATGAGAATAACACATACACATGTTGAGGCATACATTTCTACATACATATGTATGTAATTAATTATTTAAAATTTTCATTTGGCAATTATAAATTGTGAGCCTAATAAATATTTGACTCTTATCAGCACAATCTTGCACTTGAATTAAACCAAATCTTATTGTTGAAGCATGGGCACTTTTTTTTACTTTATGCTTTTCTTATTAGAATCTATGCAGCGCTTAGTGAAAGTAGCAATGACACTGAAGTAAAAATAATCGAATAAATGTGCATTGCTAACAACTATTGTTTGTCGATAACAACAGTACCGTTGGCGAGCGTTGAACAATAACAGCGACAACGGCGACAACGGCGAACGCGACGGTGACCACACGAATGAAGTGGAACTTAATACTAAAACAAGCTTTCGACCATTGGCTGGGTCGAGCGGCATTGTATATTGGATAAGTTCTAGCGCGCGCTTCGCTCAGGCAATTTTTTTTCTTGTTTAATTTTGCAGCTCGTACTGAACACTGTGGAACGGGCATAGTTTAATCTTGAAAGCAACAGAGCTAAGAATGACACACCCTATAATATTGTTTGATTCGTACATAGTGTGATGTACATATATGAATATACATGTATTCATGTATGTACATATTTACATACATGATCTTCGGCGTCATTCAAAACTGAGTATGATTCAAAACAAAAACAAAAATGCCAACATATACATTCATATGCGCGTATATATACACACACATTCACATGCATACGGATGTATGCAGACACTGCATGTACGCATTTATGTATGTATGAATGTGGTTATTCATGTGACGTACCTCACGCAAACAGTCGAAGATATACAGACACATTCACACGCAAGAAATACGTAAAGCTTTTTCGACGAGAGAGAGTCGGCGTGAGACAGAGAGCGAGAGAGCTTTGACTATCAAAAGAAAAATTAACTGACGTGCAGAGGCAAAGCAGTTTTCAACTATGTAAGTATGTAGCAAAAGATCCGAGCTGAAGGCTTTTATGATCCATCAATCAGCAAGAAACGAGTGAGAATGGAGAAAAGTAACGATAATTTTAAATTGGTATTCTTCTTGATTCTGCCATTCACACTCATTTTCAGCCGATTACACTTGCACTTGTATTTTTATATGATAGTTACTCGCGGCCGCCCACACACATCAAGAGACCATTTGAGAATTTACAAGTATATAAACATTGTGGCACTGTAATATACGACTAGTTGATGCCCATTAAAAAATTAAGGTACATACTAGTTATTAATATATACAAAAATAATATCTTATACAAGTTTCATTCATAACAACTATGGAATGCTAATTTTACGAATTGTGCTAAAATGTTTTCAAAGAAAACTTATGATGGAAATATACACATGTGCAGACATACATATGTAAGTATATATTCCATATTGTTCATCCCAAATAAAGTCAATCTGTCCTATAACCAACATTTATATTCTTTAATTTATAAGCGAATATTTTTTCAGCTCTGATTATATGGATAGGCCACTGGGAGATACTTAAGATATACATATATGTTCTTATATAACATTGTCAGATTGCACATATGTATATACATATGTATATTATCTGTAAATAGCCACGTCTATAGCAGGTGTGTTGTTGGAAATTGTTTAAGAATGCTACTCTCATATTAAAACAAATCACTGAAATTTGAAGTGGGTGTCCGATTGGATCTTTCCAATCTAACTTTATAGCTAATTTCAGATTGACGTACAATAATCATTGAAGCTTTCTCATATATTCGCATATTGATAATTTTATATTCCTTCAACTAACTCTATCTCATTAATCTAATCTTAAGTGCACGAGAAATTTACCGAGAGTTTCAGACTATTAAATGCCGTTAGCAGGGCTGTAAAAAGCTCTTCACCCACTTTAAGTGATGTTATCT